AAAAAAAAAAAAAAAAAAACCGAAAAAAAAACTATGTTATGCACAAAAATAAACTGGACAACTTTTGCCTCAGGGTCACATTGAAATTCTTTACCATTTTTTTTAAAGACATGTTATTATGATTTTAATTTTAATTTTTATTTTTTTTCCCAGCCGGCCAGGTTGTCACGGGCCACTCTGGGGCATGGTCCCACTAGCAACGGGATAGGATAGAAACGAGTTTGTGGGGCAGTTGAGTGACCCAAATCCTGCCGTGCAGTACTCGTGATCCCACGGTCAGTATTTTACTTGTATTACCCAAAAAAGTAAGGAGATCTTCGTTCCCCTCCCCCTCTCCTTAACACTGGGCATGCCCGTGCAAAGACAGCTTCCCGCCAGAATCTTTTCAATCGGTTGGGGGTGTGGCCAACCCCAAACGAGGTTGGGGTCGGCCTTAGCCCACTGGATAGAAGATTTTCAGCATTTTACTTGCTGTTGTGCAATTATCTCATTGGGTGCAGCCCTCCTTCAATCAAGGAGTATATGGAGGGTGTCAGGATCACTTCTGACAGAAGTATTATTCCAAGAAGATGAAACTAGATAGACAGTGAAACACAGAGACGCAGTGTAGAGGACTGTCTAGCGAAAGAGGAAAAACCATACTTGTGGCGCACTTGTGCGGTGCGCCATGGGGTGTGTGTGCGCCATGCGCCTTGCACAAATTAACGCTGGGTGCATTTTTTTTTTATTTTTTTTTTTGGGTGTGTCTTTATAGACGAAGGTCCTCTTTCACGTAAAAAGGAGGGTCACTGCAAGGAATTCGAGGGGTCCCTCCACTGAGTAAGGTCCTATCACCAAGCAGGGGCAGGCACTGTATTTGCAGAAGCAAGATTGGGCCATGAATATATAGTGTGAATTCGAACTCAAGTATATGTTTGAGCAGTTATGGGTTGCTAACTTAGCCAGGCCCTGTTGTGCTCTCCACATGATTCTCAGAGCTTCTCACTGAATGTGCAAAACTAGAATGAATATTCCGCTAGAACGTGGAACCATACGCCGCCATATGTTTTGTCTTTTGTGCATGTAGCAAGTAGTGGACCGAGATTTAGGGCCACTCCACCTACTCCTAAGAAAAGAAAAACAAAAAAAAAGAGAACCGCGTGCAGAGATCTGGCCTAGCGAAGGTAGTAACCCATAACTGCTCCACAGACCTGAATTCAAATCCAGAGCATATATTCGGCCTGCCCACGCCCTACTCACACTTCAACGACTATCTCTGCTTCATGACGAGTTCTTGCCAGTTTTCTGCAAGGGTCCTTCGGAAAAGAGATTGGAAAATAGAACATGCACACACAGTTTTTAGGCTTCAACCACCAGTACTGGGCCCAGCTATCGGTCGCGGCGCTTTCCCATTAACCCGCCGCGCCTTTAGGGCTTCGGGGTACCGGACCACAATGGCTGGAAGCGCCAGCCAAAATTTTTTCACAACGGTACCCCGACGCTTCAGCAAAACTTGGCGCGCAGGGGCATTCCAGGCTCGGCATCGATAGCTGCGCCAAGTACTGGTGGTTTAACGTGGCCTCAATTTTTTCCCATTTGCACTCAAATTTTTAGAAGGGAGGGGGGCGTGTTTGGTCATCACACCCTGCCCTTCACTGACCCCCATTTCGGGGATGCGCCGCATCACGTGCGCGTGCGCTCTGCGCCGCATGTGCCGCGACCCCGCTTACCGGATGCACCGCAAGTATGGGAAAAACATGTTAATTGAATCAGGAGTAGAGCCCACAGTTCGAGAGCGTGATCAGAATACCTCCAAAAGGACAAGTTCATTGGTCCACGACTGACTTCAACCAAACTTTTGGGCCTCGCTCCACCACTAAGCATTTTACACGTATGTGGACTACAATCTGCACCAGATTCTACATGTATGTGGACAACAGTCTGCACCAGAAACATTCAGAGACTGATCCAACATTTAAGAAATACCTCCAAGGGACAAATTTATTGGTCCACGACTGACTTCGACCAACCGTTTGGGCCTTGCTCCACCGCTAAGCATTCTACACGTATGTGGACTACAGTCTGCACCAGATTCTACATGTATGTGGACTACAGTCTGCACCAGGACAAGTGGATTCTACATGTTTTACATTCAAGGGGTAACGACAGCACAGTGACGTTTTCACTTCTAAATCCACTTCAGGCATCCCTCGAATACAACACATCCCAACCCAACCCTAGAGCTGGGTTGGATACATTCACTATTTTCCTCGCTTTGGAGCAAAATTCGCAAAATCGGGACTGAAACGCATTTAAAAATTAAAACTGAAAACCATGACTGCCCCCTACCGTCTTCACCCGAATTTAATGCCCTGTCATTATAGCTGTATTTGGGGCACTTTTAAGTCCAGGTGCGGCAATAATGACCAGGCGTTCTATTCGGGTCAAGACGGTAGGTTTCCCTACATTCAACTATCCAACATTTTGAATGTTTATTCAACTTTATTGATCCACGACTGACTTCGACCAACCATTTGAGTCTTGCTGCACCAGCAAGCATTCTACATGTATCTCACACCCAGATACATTCAGAATTTCAGATTGATCCAGCATTTTGAATCATACTTGCAACCGCACCCAGCCACTACGTCTTCAGGTCATTTCATTCCTCGTTTCTAACACGTTCTCCTCTTCCCAGTCCTTCCGTGCTCTCCTCTTCTCCACTTTTCCTGTATCTTTACAGGATATGAGGGCGCAACCTGCACATAGAAGAGGGGCTCAGGTGTAACTTCGCAAATCACACTGCCTGCCACTCAATATGTGATACACGGACATCATAGCACTACTACCCTAACGCGCTTAAACGCAAAACCACAGTTACAAGGGGCTCAGGTGGAATTCCGCAATTTGCAATTACCTTACTTGGCTAGCCTTATGGCAAAACCGTGCCCATGGCCACATGGCTTTCTGATATGAAGGCAATCGGGATTTCAGCCACACCAGTCTTGAAAGTTATTTCTTAACATCACAACAGCCTGTGCTGTTTTCCCAGGGGCCCAGGCACCCCACTTGTGCCCGGATACACACCCGGGTGCCCGGCCGGGCATAACCCCCGGGCCAGGTTCCGGGCAGGCCCAGCGCAAAAAAAAAATAAGAAGAAGAAGAAGAAATGCCGGAAAAAAAAAATAAGAAGAAGAAGAAGAAATGCCGGAAAAAAAAAATTGTTCTGCAGAACTGCAATACAAGCAACTTCTGGCTGAGGGTCGCATCAGAATTCCTCACAGAATCGAGAATAAGAAAGAAATAACAGAAGGCAACCCCCTTCCACGTTTGAAGTTGAAAACATTAAATCCCTTTAGCCCTTTTAAAACCAATTTATACCCCCCCCTTCCCCCACCTTGACAGCCAACCCCCAAAAAACAAAAAGAGCCCGGATTTTGGATCCTCTGGGAGAGCGCAGAAACCGATATATATATCGTCACAAACAGAACTGCCCGGTAAAACCGTAGGCAGAGAGAGAGAAGAGGACAACAAACGAGGGGCTGTGACAAACTGTTTCGTCGGAGTTTCACCAACTCATCAGGAGGCTGAACCTCAACAGTCTGCAGAATCCCCTCACTGATTACACTGTAAATGATAATCTACCTTAACCAAAATCAAAGTAGACTATCACTCACCTATATATCGTCAAATAGAACTGCCCGGTAAACCGTAGGCAGAGAGGGAGAAGAGGACAACAAACGAGGGGCTGTGACAAACTGTTTCGTCGGAGTTTCACCGACTCATCAGGAGGCCGAACAAACAGAACTGCCCGGTAAACCGTAGGCAGAGAGAGAGAAGAGGACAACAAACGAGGGGCTGTGACCATATATATATATATATCGTATATATATATATCACTCCGACGAAACAGTTTGTCACAGCCTCTCGTTTGTTGTCCTCTTCTCCCTCCCTCTCTGCCTACGGTTTACCGTAGGCAGCTCTGTTTGACAAGGGTGCCCGGCCGGGCATGACAATCTTCCTGGATAACCCTTGTCAAACAGAGGCAGCTCTGTTTTCTCAGCCCTGAAGCAGCCCGCCTCAGAACTTTGGGCCTACCGGGGGTCACAAGAGGGGGCAGAAATATCCATATTTTTCGCGCCGGGAGCGTTTTTTTTTTTTTTTTTTTTTTTTTGGGAAAGGGGCATTTCTCGATTTCTGCGTGTCATCCTTGCTCAGGGGCCATGCTAATTTTTTGTGTTTTTACCAACTAGCCTAGACGGCCCTGAATCATTAAAATACAGACCCGATTTCGAATCTTCTCTCTATCGTTCCAATTTTAACGGATGTTGGGAGCTGTTTCTGCCATTCCGAATTCCGTTTTCAATTTTTCTGATACTTTCCCCTGAAAGATGTGCACCTAAGCCACCGCTGCCCGCAGCATTAATTTAATGATTTTTAATCCCAGCTCCCGAGTCTGGCCCTCTCGACAAAAATGCAGGCCCACCAAACCAAAACGATGTGGGCCTGCGGGCAGTAAAAGGGAGGGAGGAGGAGGGGGGGGCCAGTCGCTGTGCCTCCCCTCTCCCTCTATGAACATCAGCAGTCTCTGCTAAATCCCGCTCTGGGGGACCAACGGCCTATCTCTAGGTGGCGGGCGTCAAACTTGCCCAGGAAGGTACATGAGGCCAATGGCAATTGACCCCAAGACCTGAATGCCACTGGCATGCTGAATTAACATACTGCATTTTCTTTCTTTTTTCTTTCTTTTTTTTTTGGCTCGAACCTTCTATGGACCCTTGCATGGCCGGGCAGCCCAGCCAATCGACGAGACCGGGTGGATCGCCTGGTAGCCTAGAGAACCTTTTGGCTAGCCCCCTAAATCACCTCAGCAAACTTGTGGTTTAAACCACCAGTACTTCCGAAAGTCCCACCTGCATGCGAGCTGCCAAGTGCTGGGATGAACAGGCCTCGGGCGGTGGAAAAAATAAATTCCTTGTAGTGCAAACGTCATTCAAGTGGAAACGTCACGGCACTGTAGCAACGGCCAGCCGCATGCAAGCCGCGACGTCCAGAAGTACTTCGGTTAAGGGCAAACCACGAGTTTGCTCGCGCGGTGGAATAAATCAATTCGTCCAGTGGAAACTGGTGGTCGACGACGAAACCACCACCACCCCTGGTTATTACCTCGGTCCGTGCAATTGACGATCCTACGGCCACAGCCCTCTTCTGTTTTTTTGGACTTGGTATCAAGTACAGGAGCTGGCCATTCTTTCTGCCTACACACGTCTTCACTTTCACGGGGAATTACCACCAACCCCCCGCACCCCGTCCAGAAGGGGAGGCCACTCCTGTCCACCCGTCGTCCACCAGATTCGTCGTATCGGTTTTGCAACTGCTTCAAAGTTCAGACTTAAGCATCTAGTCTGGATTGCGCCTCTCCTTCGGTCACCAAATCGGTCATTTTCACTTTGCGCCTTGAAAGTTGAAGCTGATGCATCTACTCGCGATTTTGCCTCGCCTTCCATCCTCAAGCCAGTCATCCCCTTTGCACCCTCTTCATTTGGTGCTCTGGATATTTCTGATGCAAGAACAGACCAAACACGACTCGATGACAAGATCGAACGCACGGACCTCTCACTCGAGAAGTTGGGAGACAAACACCTAACCAATAGGTTAGACCACCAGTACTTCCTAGAGTTGTGCCCGTTAACAAACCACAATTTTAGGAAACGTACCGGCCACTACAGGAGCACCCAAATTCATCTGACTATAACTTTCTACGATGACAAGATTGAACGCACGGACCTCTCACTCGAGAAATTGGGAGGCAAACACCTAATCAATAGGTTAGACCACCAGTACTTCCTAGAGTTGTGCCCGTTAACAAAACGTACCGGCCACTACAGGAGCGCCCAAATTCATCTGACTAGAAACGTTTCTAGTAACTTTCTACTCTATTATTTTTCTCTGCGGCCTATAGCTGGGCCAAGTACTGGTGGTTTAAGCGGACTGGGGTTGAAAGTGAAGCCCCGAGATGAGCACTTCAACCCACCCCAGCATGTATTTCTCTGCATCCCAGTCGTGACCAGGTGTCACTTCTTTCCCTTTAATACCGAAGCCGTGTGCTGTATGACCTCTTGCAGGGTTTTGGTGGGCAGGGTTGGGGGGGGGGGGGGGGGGGGGGGGGGGGGGGGGGGGGGGGGGGGGATGAGGAGGAGATTGTGAAAGAGGAGGGAGAAGGAGAAACAAAGTTCATGCCACTTCATGGTGTTTCCTGCAATTTACTAGTTATGACTGAGGGCATACTGACAATGGGGCTTTCTCAATGGAATCTGACTGTGTTTGCAGTCCGATACACTCAGAAAAGCACAAGTGCAATGAATCCGGATTCACACCCGATGTACTTCCCCACCGAATGCATGCATCATCGCGCCAGTCTCACACGCGACACGGAAGAAGCACATGATATGAGCAAAAGCTCGAAATTCAAAAGTCAAAGTTATATACAGCAAGTCTTTTCGTCTTCAGCAGCTATGCCTGCTGGCACACAATCAGGCAGTTTTTTTGAGAGAATTTGGTCAAGATTGCAGTCAGGTACATGCATAAACGGGACCAAGACAGATATGCCACCTGGCACACACACAGGGTTTTCCAGAGAATTGCACTCCGATGAATGCATGTAAGGTGCCGCAGAACACACGCCTCTAGACTAGAGGCATATGCTCCCTGGGACGTTGTGTGGATGCATCTAACCACAATTCTGGTCCGATTCTCTTGAAAGGCTCTGTGTGCCCAGAGGCAAATGAACTGCTTCGAAATCCATACACAGCTTCTTTTCTTACTTAAAAAAAAAAACAGTCCAAGAAGTGCTGAGGGCATAATAGGGCATATGCTCTCTGCGACCTTGTGTGCATGTATGCGGCCACAATTCTGGTCAGATTCTCTTGAAAGGTCCTGTGGTTGGCAGTACCCTCCCTGGGACTTTATGGGGATGATGTATGTGACCTCAATTCTGGTCAAATTTCTGTTAAAAAAAAAGGCCAATAGTAGTCACCTTACTGTTCAATCTTTGAATGTGGCATACGAATCCGAGCTTGTAGTTCGCAACAGCCCTAAGGCATATTGACACTGCAATTTTTTAGGCCGAATCTGGTCGTCATTGCAGTCGAATACAACCAGAGAAGTCCCCACTGAGTGAGTGCGCGTTCACATTGTCAACAGCTCAGGGGGTATTCACAGGAACTTTTTACGGTGAATCTGGTCATCATTACAGTCCAATACCTCCAGAGAAGTCCCCACTGAGTGAGTGTGAGTTCACAACAGCGCAGGGGGTATTGACACAAACTTTTACTGGTGAATCTGGTCGTCATTACAGTCCAATACAACCACAGAAGTCCCCAGTCAATGTGAGTATACCCTTAGTTTGAGAATTCATTTGACCCCGATTGTTCTTAAAACCAGATCCGATTCCGGAGCCCAAAAAAAGGAATCTAGTCGTCATTACAGTTGAATACGGAATACGAGATCCAGAATTCCCTGCTGATATCCGCACTTACAGATCTAGAACCGTTGAGCTGTAAACTACAGAATCTGGTCATCATTTCAGGTCAAATACAGAATTCGATGATTTACAGCTCCAGGGCCCTGTCCAGTCAGCAAAAAGGATCCAAACAGGCCAGAAACACAGAACCCATATAAAGTAAGTGGGACCCCTGCCCTCCCTCCCCCCCCCCACTAGCAGCTCTACAACGAAACAACAAACTGGTGGGGACCACCAGACGCAGCCCAACAAATCCACGAACCAAAAAAAAAAAACAAAAAACATGCATATCAAACTTCTCAAGATGTAAGCACTTATTTAAAAGTCATTTTTCTTTCTTGCAGTTTTTTCCGCAATGAAAACGTTTTCTCATATTTCAATTCCAGCCTCTTCATTCGTAATGTACTAATGTCCTCTTTTTTTTTTCTTTTCTTTTTCGTTCACCAGCAAGTATTAAGAAATGCGCAATTTTGTCACAGAAAAAAAAAAAAAAAAACTTTTTTTTTTTTTTTTAAGTCGCACCTTGAGTGATGTGTACGGGAATCAAGTATGGCATTGGTCGAAGGATTCCCTCAACTTCATCCAGTTGCAAAACGCGAACGTATCCCGTGTCGTCACCAAAATATCTGCAGACATTTTACATCCCAAAAATAAAACCACAATCATGAGTCAGGATACCTAATTTAGTAATTTCTTATCAGTGCTATCACCATATTAAAAAAATACACATATACTGTCATAGGCAGAGAGGTAGAAGAGGACAACAAATGAGGGGCTGTGACAAACTGTTTCGTCGGAGTTTCACAGACTCATCAGGAGGCTGAACCCGGGAGAAGAGGACAACAAATGAGGCGCTGTGACAAACTGTTTCGTCGGAGTTTCACCGACTCATCAGGAGGCTGAACCCTGAACAGTCTGCAGAATCCCCTAACTCGTTACACTGTAAGTGATAGATAATCCACCTTGACCCTGGTTGTGGTTAAGCATCAACGACTGCCCAACAACCGCTACCTCTCTGAGGAGGTGGGGACCACCAACCACTGCCCTCAAGGTACCTGTGACGAAAATCAAAGCAGACTATCACTCACCCACACCAGATGGAAACTGTACATATCGTCAAACAGAGCTGCCGACGGTAAACCGTAGGCGGCACAGAGGGAGGGAGAAGAGCACAACAAACGAGGGGTTGTGACAAACTGTTTCATCGAAGTTTATATATATCACCATAACAGCATCCTTGATTTCAGACACGTGTAGAGCTACTGCCGCAAATAGCATGCAGACACTGATGCAAAAAATTCCTCTGGACTCTGGAGATGTTTGCTACAATTTTATTTTATTTTTTCTGAATTTGGACCATTTCTCAATTTAAGCGTGGTATCCTTGCGCAGGGCCCTTTTTTCTCTGTATCGTTCCAATTTTAACGGATGTCGCAAAGGACAGTTATTGCTGCAAATTTGTATACACCATTGACGGGAAAATTGCATCTGTACCCCCTTCGAGGAAGGGAATTCCCCACGGCATCCATTCGGCTCCCCCCCGCAGCCCCCTGTTTGCACAGTTTGGGCTCACCTCGTGACATAGCCGGTTTGGCTCCCCTACCGTCTTCCCCCGAACACAACACACCCTAAAAATGTATGTATACAAGCTATATATCCGGCCAGATACAGCCAAAACGAGGGTGCGTTGTGTTTGGAAACGCACCCTAAAAATGTATGTATACAAGCTATATATCCGGCCAGATACAGCCAAAACGAGGGTGTATTGTGTTCGGGGGAAGACGGTAGTAGGATCAGTAGGGGGCTCCTTCCATCCGCGCTAGGGGTTCGATTCAACCCTGAGGTGATAGGCTCGACCGGGAACGCTCAACCCTGAGGGAATAGGGTAGGCTATAATAGATCAGGCAGGAAAACATCCTGCACCCATAGGTACATAGGCGCAACCCATAACCCTTAGCTTGCTTCCCATTACTAGCTCAAGGTAGTACCGCTTTGTGGATGGACAGTACATTAACTACCGTCTTCACCCGAATAGAACGCCCGGTCATTATCGCTCTATTGAGACTGGAAGTTGGCCAAAATACAGCTATAACGACCGGGCGTTCTATTTGGGTGAAGATGGTAGGCTAAGTAGTGTTCGACCCTAAGCCTTCAAGAGTAGGTGGTTGTTCCCAAAAAAAACAATGAGATGGGTGATTATTCGGACCCTAAGCGTGCAGAATAGTGCTCGTTCCCAAAAAAGCCCTGTGAGATGGATGATTACCTTCTTCCCCCGAATACAACGGATGGTCATTATAGCCGTATTTGATGCATCTTCCAGTCTAAATACAGCGATAATGACCGTACATTGTATTCGGGGGAAGAAGGCAGTTAAGTGTAAGGCAATCGAGAGAAGAGAATAGTGTAGCCAATACGCACAGCTGTCCCCCATACGAGGAGAAGACAGCTTTTTCTTGTATGTGCAGTTAAAAATAAATATAAGACGCGAATTCCCATTATACCCCATCCCAGTGCCCAACTTGCATCGATACCCCAAGAACTGGCCGGAGGAAATTCTGCTTCAAAAGTACTGTGGGCTTATTTGTGCAAATTGTCATACACAATAAATTAATAATAAATCATTAATGGGTAAAATTGCATCTTTACCCCATCTGAAGAACTGAATTCCCATTATAGAATAACTATTTTATTATACCCAGCCCCGATCCCCATCTTGCATCAATACCCCGGAACTGGCCTGTGAAAATTCTGTCCATGGGCCAAAGTTTGTAGTTATACCCTACCCTTTATACCCAGTCCCAGTGACCCATCTTGCTGACCTATGGGAAACCATGTCCATGCTGCTGTGAAAGTACTGTGGGAAACCATGCCCATGCCCAGGACCGATGCAGGCTACAGATGCAATTTTCTCATCACTAGTATATAATAATGATGAGGAAATTGCATCTGTACTAGATTCTGTAGCCCATTTAAAGATGGGGGTTCACTTTGTTTCCAGTCTGCCGCAATTCGGTGGTGCGAACCTTGGTCCACATCGGTCCTGGGCATGGACATGGTTTCCGCGGACCATTTCCCGGGTATAGCTGCAAGATGGGCAATGGGACTCGGTATAAAGGGTTGGGTATAACTACCAACCTTGGCCCACCTAGGTCCTGGGCATGGACAGAATTTTCACAGATCAGTTCAGGGGTATTGATGCAAGATGGGCATCGAGACTCGGTATAATAATACTTATTAAAAGTTGTTCTTATATTAATAACTTGATAGTAGTTAATACGCGATGGTTTGCACCACCAAATTGCGGCGGACTGGATACAAAGTGAAACCCCATCTTTAAATGGGGTACAGATGCAATTTTCTCATCATTAGTATATAATAAAATAACTTGATAGTAGTTGATATGCAATGGTTGCAGACATCAAACCTTAATAAATCTGCTACCAGCAGACATTGAAAAACAATAGAAGAAAAAGAGAATGAGAAAAAAAAGAGAAAAAAAAAAAGAGAGAAAAAAAGAAACAAAAGCAGAGAGGAAAAAAGAGAGAAAAAAAAGAAAAACTTCAAAAAAAAGAGAGAAAAAGCGAGAGAACTTAGAAAAGAGAGAAAAAAAGAGAAAAAGGGAAAAAAAAAAAGAGAAAAGAATGCAGGACAATGAAAGAAAAAAGAGAAAAGAAAAAAGAGATAAAACTTGCCTCTGACTGCAACTAAATAAAAGACTGCAGTAAAATAAAAGATTCCAATAAAATAAAAAGACTGCAACAAACTCAATAAAATTTGCAATTTTTTTTCTTAAAAAACAAAACAAAAACAGGACTGCAACAAAATAAAATTCATCAATCAAAACCACTGTGGATGGGAAAACCAACACCAGTTCAAGCAACCTTGGTTGATTTTAATGTTGAGCTTCGTCCTTACAAATACGGAGTGCCAATCGCTTGCGCCAGCGCCGTAATCTCGCCATCCCACTTCAGGGAAGCAACCACCGCCTTTGTTGACAGATCCCATACCTGCGTGTTTGTAGAAAAACAAGATTTGAGAACCTTCATTCCTATGCTTCTTTTTTTTGTCTTTTTTTTTAATTTGGACCATTTCTCGAATCATGCATGTCACCCTTGCACAGGGGTGATTCCTATGCTTTTTTTTTTTTTTTTGGGACCATTTCTCGAATCATGCGTGTCACCCTTGCAGAGGGGTAATTCCTACGCTTTTTTTTTTCTTTTTTTTTTACGGGCCTGGTGCCCAAGGCTGATATTACCAATGAGAATTACCTCTCTTTTTTTTCCTTTCCCCCCCCCCCCCCAAGGGGCAACCTTCCCGGTATGATCCGGGCACTCCGGCCAGGTTCATACCGCGGTTGCTAATTATATTATAAAAGCCGGAAACCGGGTCCGGAGTCCCTCACATGAGAAACAAGGTTTGTGACCAAAAAGACCGACTGTGATCAATCGAGTCGCAAACCCCAACAAAACGCTACTCAACAACAAAATGATAAGCAAGCTACAAAATCCCAACAAAGTACTGCTCGGGCCTGACAACAAAACCAAGAAAGGCTATCATCCAGCATCTCCCCCCCCTGCAGAACCGCCCTGCCACCCACACATGGGGGTCCGTATCCCCAGCCCCCCGACTGCGGATGCAGACCCCGCAAACCCACCCACCTCCTCGCGATTCAGGGCGGATCGCGCCTCTACTCACACTATCCGTCACCAAAAGACACCGACTCCCACCATGATGGTGCTTTTGCGAACTGGCGGATGCACCCTACCACCCACACGGTAGGGGCCAAAGACCCCGCAAACCCTCCCCCCTCCTCGCAATTTAGGGTACTCCACTGCCCCAATCTGCTACTACCCCCTAACTGGACTCCACCACCCTCCATGATGAAGCCCCGGCAGGGCTATGCTTACCAATCTACCTCTAAAAACGGATGAAAACGAAACCCAAAACCAATTGCAGAAAGACGAACAACAGAACGGTGAATACTGCCAAGCCAGCAAAAACACCCCACCACCCGTGCCGCAGGGGTCAGAGACCCCGCAGCCCTCCCACCTCCACGCGATATGGGGTACAACACCCCCTCCCACCTCCGCTTCCAGTGCCTAAGAAACCTCACCGCCCACCATGATGAGATCTCTGCAGACGGAAACTCACACCTTCGTCATCCCGCCAAAACTACAACCTACACAGATCGACCAAACTTAGAACAACAACGGTTCTGTCTGCTACGGGGTTCCCCGTGTGCCGACAATTAGGAGTAGTGATAGGTAGGTAGCGTGAGGTTGAATGTAGAGAAGAATATAGCTTTCTAAAATAAAATAAAAATAATAATAATAAAAACTAACGAAACCGAAAAAAAAATCAAAATACTAACGGAACCAGTCAAAATAACGAGATAACAGAGGTCACAAAACCCAAGTATCTACACACCACAAAACAACGGCTACGATCGGCCAAAAACAAACAAGGACAAAAAGGCAAATCGTATGTATCAGCAAGAACATCAACAAAAAACTCCAAAAACCAACGGAACCAACAAAACCATTCGCCTAAAACGACAAGACGAAACGAGCAAACCCTAGCACTCTCTCTCTCTCTCTCTCCATCCATGGCAAGGACGGCCACCAACCCCACCAC